ACTTGAAACTTAGCACACTCTCAAAAAGATGCAAGTATTTCCTGTGTATTTCCCCCTCCCACACTGACATTAGCTTCTAGGTTTGAGGTTAAACTATTTAGTCCAGAACTGGCAGAATGAGTTTTGAAGAGGAGTTTAATGGTTTAACCCTACTCACCCATTTTAAACTAGCCAGTCATTTTTCTCCCCTGTAGCAGTTACTTGATTATATTCAATACAGCAGCTATTGAGTTACTGGAGCAACTTGTCTATATTAGCCAGTTTTCCTACCATTTAGCCCTACTGTTCAGTGGTGGTAATTATGAGGTTCCAGCAGCCAATAGTGTTTTAGTGATAAAAATATCTAGACCTAGCCCACACCAGATTAGGAAATTAAGATTAAACTAGTGACACTCTGCGTCATCATATACAGACTGCTGAAGAATGGAAGATATTCCACCCCCCCCCGATGCTACAGTTCTGGAGGAGTTTGGCTCTCTCGGAAATTGCTTCTTTTCCGAAAGAGTCAAACCCCTCCAGAACTGTGGCATCAGGGAAAGTCTGACTCACGGCTGGTCAGACAGCAGTACAGTATTACTCAAGAACTGACAAATCCTAGGAAGGCAGCAAAAAAAAAAAAAACCCAAAAAAAACAAAAAACCCCACTAAGCGTAAATTTCCAAAGCTCCGGGCAGAGTACACTCAATGTGTCACCACTAGTAACAATTCCTGAAGGAGAACTAAACAGAAGTCACTGTTTATTCCAGGAGCAACTCATCTGTAGGAGGAAAAAGCAGGGTCAAATACTGGGTGAAAACCACTTCTACTAGAAGTGGGGGTCTAAAGTAATCCAATAAGGAATCAGCACCATTCAAGTAAGATCCTCTATAGCCCAGCAACCCAGTAACTTACTACATCTCAGTGCAGAAGTATTTAACAGGCTGCTCCTGTCCCATTCAGTAGCACAGAAATCTCACCTCATCACAACAGCTCCGTTCTACCGCAAATCATTTCAGGCCTTAATCTATTAAGAGCCTGCATTCCTCCAGGTCTCAAAACAGGGACAAGCTCCATCCTGGCTGTGCACTAACAGCATTACTGGGGCTTACTTACACATTTTGTGTTTGTCTTCAACTCCTAGTTCAAAACACCCTCTGTCTCTCCCATAGTTAAAGTGGCCCACTCTGTTATTGGGGATGCTGTTACACCACACTATAAACATGGAAGACTAAGAAACTAGTCAATTCCGGCGATAGAAGGGGAGGATTCCTAATCAAACAACACAAAAACCCATGGTTCAGGCCAACCACCAGGAGCAAGTTAAAGCAAATGGTCAGAAATTAAGAGGTATTATAGAAAGAGGTTTTCAGCTGTGGTGTACACAATACACCCCAAATCCCCTAGCCACTTACAACATAGCACTTAATTCTAGTCATGGGCAGCTTCCAGCAATGCAAAATTCCCTTGTTCTATGAATACTAGACGCTCAGCTCCGCACTACTCTCCAGAGGAAGCTTCTTCCTTGACTACTATATTTAGTGAGCACAGCCTCCACCAGATGCCCAGTACAGCCACAAAGATCCTCATCTCAGGAGAAGCAAAAAAACCAAATTGAGAATCAGACCAAGTAAGGCTTTACAGTCAGCCAAGTGGCTTCAAGCAGCCAACGCATTCAGCCGCAATAGGGATTTTTAGTGAGGCTGGGACAGGCTGTGGGAATTCTGCTGAAGTTTGCACTGTGCCAGCAGCCAGACTCTCCTCCCTATTGTCAGGGGGGGCAGGGATGTCAAGTTAGCAGCACTCTGCCTTGCAGTTGGCAAACAAGACAGCAGCAGATCAAAACTAAAGCCGTTCAAACACCAGGCAGGATCATCCAGAGAAGACAAAAACCATGTTACTGTTTGGAGTAAATCCAATTTATGCCTGTTGAGGGCCTTCAGTTGCTGCATGGCCCAGCAGAGCTGTTAAAGCAAGGAAAAACACAAAAGGGATCCTAGCCACGAACACCATTTCCAGAGCTGTTGGACTGAAGGTGGATCTCAGAAGTCAAGCAGTTTAATCGTCTTTGCCAAAGCTACTACAGGTTACCCAGACATCACCCAAGGGTTTGTACACCAGAAAATAGCAGGAAGGGGTAAAGCAGACGGACAACCTACATACATGTGAGAGTCAGTTTGGAACCTTTATCTCAATATCAAGAGCCTCTGAAAAGGGAGATCAGCCCTGAGCTTCCTCCACCTATGCAGAACCCAAGAGCTCCAGGACACAGAACAGGGAGGCTCAGAAAATTGCTTATCTAGTAATCCGTAATCAATCATGTAAGCTTTGTTCCCAAACTTCTGAGAGATTATTTAGCAAGTCACTCAGTAACCAGCAACTGTCAGCAGCTCAACCAGGTCAACATTTGCATCCCAGGGCATTTTGTTTTCTGAGCTTCAAGGATAAGTCCTGGAGAGGAATTGCGGACAGGGGAGGGAGATCCTTGTTCCTAGTGTTCAAGCTCCAAAGGGACTACACTGAACTGCTAGATGCATTGAAACAGTTAACAGAGCATTTTCTCCCATGTTGTCTGGGTGCTTTTTAAGTGGCAGCCAGCAACAGTTTTGCAGAGAAAGCTCCAGGAAGCATCTACCTGTTAGAGGTCTGTAACCCACATTTGTCTTTGCAACGCAGCTCACGGCTCTACTCTGGAAAGGTACTGCTCATCCAGGAAATAGGCTGGCCCACAAGTGAAGCAGATAGGAAGAGACAGAGTTATTACATGCAGATAAGAAAACCTTGATTTGATTGGGAGGGACAGAGGAGAAACCAGGCAAAAAGCAGAAAGAACAGGCCTTGGGGATCAACAGTAGGACAAGCCAAACCGGTTTTAACGTTAATAATGCTGCACTACCTTCCAAACAGTGCCATCATCAAGACACTGACTTGGCCAATCACAGGCCCCACAAATTCTGGGAAGTGTTAACACTCTTTTAAAGCGGTACTAACGAAGCAGGCAGGTGGTGCCGGAGGACGAAAAAACAGAGCCTGGCTCTTCACTAGATCTCTCCTCTGGTTGCTCACCCTTTCCCTTCAGGTGCAGCTCCATTAACCAAAGGCATCTAGGTGTCCCAAGTGCAATTGTGCAGCTAATACAACTCAGATGCCCTTCCAGGCCCTGAAGGACAAACAGCACAGCACAGCACCTCGGAGATGTTAGTACCATTTTCTATGGATCCGGTGTTCCAAACCAGAGGACTGCTCCCACATCCAGAAGTTATTACACCATGTTATTAAGGGGGCAGGCCAGCCGCTTGGGAGGAGATTACAGAATTAGTGTTGTCAGAGAACAGTCAGTTTTCCCAGCCCTAATATGTCAAAGGCTGCCCCAGTGAAAGAAACCCTGCGCAAATGGAAAGCCACATGGAGAGAAAAAGTAAAATAAAAATAAAAATTAACCCCCCCCAAAAAACAAAATACAAACACACACCAAAACAGATCCTGCTCCGAAGTCTCTCTGGCTCGTGTATTGTACAGGCTCTGTGGGAATATTTAGGCATAGATTCAGAAGCCTAGAGGCCCTGCCCTTACATAAGCACAGGAAATCAAACCCACGATCTCCTGGTCAGCACCAACACTGTGGCCGTACCCTTCCCATGTCCCCTTGCACATGCTGTACAATCCTGCTATGCCACCACCACCGAAGGGAAGCAGCATCCACATGTTCAGGTGACCTGTAACCACCACATCACCCCTCTGCTCTCCCTCTTCCCACCACACACCAACCCAACCACTCTCATTCACACCTATCTGCCCTCATATTACAGCTTTATTCACACTTCAGACAATATCATGTCTTGAGAGTTTTCACCGCCCCACTGTAAGGAGTTTCAGCTACAACTACACATAAACATTTCATCTTTGCAAGGATCTGAAGACCATAGCTCTTTCTGCCCCCCAGGCCCATGGAGCTGCAGGGTTGATTTTAGACCAAACATGGTCACAAAGCATGCCGGAGTTCTAGTGTCCCAGGCTGTTTTTGTCTTCATCTGGGCCAGGGCTAGCCTGGGTGGCTGTAACTGTGGGGAAAGCCCAACAGCAATGCCAAGGATTTGTGTAGCCTAGGACTCTGTTCAAGCTGGCTGGTCAAAACAGAAGGCCGCTGCCAACTGTTGAAGCAATAGAAATGTCAGCTACTGCGGCGAGGGTTTACTTGCCAAGCCACCAGCATGTTGGATCAGACAACAAGGGTGGAGCCACAGACTGATCAACACACAGATCACTGCTGGTATCAAAAATCCAGGGTGAGGCAAGGAGGATGGTGACAATGACTCCAACCCTAACATCCCCCTTGCCCGCCCGAGGGGTCAGACCTAAAGGCCCCAGAGCACAGGACACCTAGAAAAGCATCCAAGAGGGGTAAAGGCTTGGAGCCCCAGCAGATGCCAAGCCCACGGCTGGTAAGAGCTCAGCCTGCGGGGAAGGCAGTTCCTCATCAGGAGGCCAGCGCCCAGGTCAGAGCCGATGAGAAGTTTTCGAGCTCTGGGAAAGAGGAAACAGGGGCAGCAGGGGGGACGCCGCTGCCTCAGGCAGGCAAGGGTTTGGGGGGAGAGGAGACGATGAGCTGGGGGGAGAGGAAGCAGGCGTGGAAAGAGGCCAAGCAACCTGTTGCGGCGCGAGGCAAGCCGAGCGGGAGCTGGGGGGCAGGCGGAGGATTGCAGAGCGGAGCCAAGGAAGAAAGGGGCAGCGGAGCAGGGGCGAGCGAGGCCAGCCTTAGCGTGGGGGCAGGACCCACTGGCTGACACGAGCCAGGCACCCCCCAGCCCGCGCTCCTCCTCGGCCCCTGCCCCGGCGGGTCCCTCGGAAACAGGCTCGGGGCGACCCGCTGGCCAAGGAGCTTCAGGCACCTCAGACGCCTTCAAGGCCGGGGCCGGGGCCGGGGCCGGGGCCGAGCCATGGGGCTGGAGAGGCCTCTGGGGCAGCAGCGGAGGGGCCAGCGGGCGAGGAGCCGACAGCCCCAGCGGCCCAGCCCGGGCACTTACCGACTCGGCGGAGACGGCGGCGACCGCCAGGAGCAGCAGCAGCATCGCGGCGCAGAGCGCACGGGCCGGGCAGCGAGACATGGTGCAGGCGCGGAGTGAGCGGCCCCCG